GCACATTGCCATTGGTTTGCATTCTCAAGAGTTGTACATTTAAATGCAAGCGTGCAATTGTTGCCCGTGTCCTCGTTTATAGTTAGCAGACAGGATAAGTACACAACACCCTGGGCATTGAAGTGTGTCTTGCAAGGTTTATACAATTTTCCCTGTATAACAGCATTTAAATGGCAGACGTTCGCTGTCAATTTTTTTTTTTTAATATGCAAGTTTTGTAGGAAGCTACTGGTGATCATGACAGACAAACATTTTGAAGTAAGAATGTTCTGCCTCTTATTTGCACAAGCGTTTGCTCGTGAGGTGCTATTTTACCATGCAACCCTCTCAGATACCCTTGCATGTGGATGAGAATGTGTAAAACCGACCTGGGATGACTACCGCAATAGATTACTGGACACAGACGTACAGCAATGACCATTTCAAACTAAATACTGTACAGTATGGCGCAGCTCTGACGTCTGCGGTAGACAGCAACTGATGTAATAAGAGCGCGATGCAAATGGTGAACGACTTTATAATAGCGCGGCACAACGAATTGATATTGAAATTATTTGCCAACAGTTTTAAACAACATTTTTTATCGATTCGTTTTTGCAGTGTTCATGTTTTATCACTAAAAACTACGCTCTGCAACAGAATTATCATCATGAACACGACTACAAGACAATTTGGCCAAGTTCACGCTGCAGGTCAATTCGGGATATTTTTGCCCATACACGACACGTATCCGATTTTTTTTCATACAATGTGAACAGTACAATTCTGATTTTTTTTTTCAAATGCAACCTGGGCCTCTCTTTCTTATGTGGATAATATAAATTGGGTATGTATGCAATGCATCTGCAGTGTGAATACTCATCGGCACACATCGGACCTATCCTCAAAAGACTGGTATGCGCACCGCGCAGGTGGGAGGGAGTGCTTGGGAGATGACTGACATTGTCCATGAATCTACAGTTATTTTGACGAACAGTTGTTGTGTTTACATTAGACTTCAACTTAATCCCAACTGAAACCTGAAGTGGACATTTGTGCTGATCATAGTCATTCAGCCGTGCAAACACTTCATTATGCGCCACAATGACAATACATCTTTATTTATATAGCGCTTCCACAACCGCCGCAGATGTAACAAAACGCTTTACAGAAGATTTAACATCAAAGAACAAAAATAATACAACAAAACAGATAACATGGACAATAACACCATAGTACCGGTAACAACTATTCCTGTCTATGCCTTGTTATTTGAATCAGTAATCGATGAAAAGAATCAAAGTCTCCTTTTCCCCAGTGGATCAAAGACGTCATGGTCACTGCGTGGATGACATCACACACATCTGCTACAAAATGCGTCATCTTTAGTCGGCATCCTCATCCCCAAAATATTTCTACCTCCTTCCGCCTCGCTGCTCTGAAGATACAATATAGAGATTAGCCCCTACGTGCAGGACCTTATTTACTTCTGTAAACACTGTGCCAGGTGACTTTTTTGTTGTGTGTGTACATCACTCGACATTGTGCTTTGTGCACGCGTGTCACATCACAGACGGGCTGCATTCACATTAGAAGATGCATTTCTCGTAATGTAAACAAGTACATAAAACGATTGGATTGAACCAAAAAAAATAAAATAAATCTGTGATGAAATGATGGGCATTCATTAGGACCATTGTCCACTATGCCAGCATGCTGTACAAGCTCAGCACAATGCAAGCCAGATGACTTATATTTGAGGTCAAGCATTTGTGAAAAATCTCTTTTTCCATCTTCGCAATCTATGGAATGGTTTGAATGTTTCAATTACGGAACATATTTGACCAAAAAGATGACACTGAAGTCCTAAAAACATGTTCTAATGTGGGTCATAGACTGTAGTGTGGCGGCGCGGGCAACCGCAGCGGCTCTTCTTGTTGTCTGTTTAAGTGGGAGGAAATTTCATCTGTGCTGTATGTTACAGCACATTTGACAATAAAGTTGTACTTGACTTATAGTGTTGTATGCTGTGTGTGTGTGTGTGTTTGTTTTTTTTTTTTAACTGACTGAAACTGGTTCTCTTATCTGTATTTACAGTCATGAGCTTTAGTTTTATTGTAGGGTCATGTCATTATGGCGTCTGCATGTTTCTGACATACTTTTGCACCATGGGAAGCCTTTGACATGAGTTAATATTTAATAATCAGTCAGAAAATAATGTGGCAGATTCTCTTGGTCACACACTTCTACGCCCCAACATCAGAATGATGCAGACGGGGATTTAAGGCAATTTGAATAGGTCATGGTTGGCTTCGGAGGGCATTTCACAAAGAGACAATAGTTGCATTTTTGTATGCACAATTATCTCTTGGGAGCAAAGAGTGACAACGTATCAAGGCCAATGCGGGTCTCTGGGTGAAGCTGCTTTGTTGATGGCAGAAGCTTTGAAGAAAAGGCTCGGGGAGGCAAAGGAAACACTTTTGATTTCAACGCTCATCAAACCCTAATCAAGAGTAGAGTGGACCATTTTCAGTGCTACTTTTCACGACCCAAAGCCACTGTACCACGAGCATATTGGTGAACCACTCACAGTCATAATTTGGCAGCAATAACACACATTTCAGGTGTTATGTTGGTATGGGAGAGGAAATGGTCCGCATCATATCAAAGTAGTTTTAATTGAATTAAGTCGGATAGCATTACAAAAATATAGACTCATAGTACGAGAAAAATATGCTAATTTCATGGCAGCGGGGATGCCATTTAAACATCCAGAGCTGAAGTGAATGACTACATTAATATGAGACGCCGTCCAAAATGAACAATAAAATCATCCGTTTTGATATCAAAACCAACATCAGAATAAACACTTTCATGTGATTGTTCCACTTCTTTTGTTGAGTTCTAACCAGAAGCATAAATGTCATGGTTTTCCCCGATCTATGTGACAGGTCTCCTGAGACCACAGCAGCTGTTCTCAGACTTTTGCATTTACATATGTGTGGACATTTTCCTTACACTTATTAAGAAGACAATTTTATACACGCTGTTTTCTCAATGTTATTTTGCATTATTCACAAAGGAATCAAGGATCACATTTCGATCTAGGTCTGTACCCAAAGCCTAATGGCTTTCTTCCTTTCAGCAACTCTGCATTTATCTGTGTATGCTTAATGCATATCTTTGTTCAACCTCCTCCCTGTTTGTGCCGTTAGCGAACTTAGAAATATTTGAAATAACATTAAAAACGACAGGCCATCCCTTGTGCCTGATCAAAGACACACTCGGGCTTGAGTTTTGCTTGGAGGTAGTTGGAGGAAAGGTTGCTGGAATTCTAACAATGCTTAGGAAGGGTGCCTCAATACAGCCTTTAACGCGAACTTTAGCGGTGGTTACTCCTGACCAACCTTAAACATAGCACAGGAAATATTTGCTATCCAGTCTGTTGCAGGAGCAATACATAAAGCAACTGGCCACAAGTCTACCGCAGTTTCACACCAGAGATTTGAGACAGAAATACTCGCTGTCGCACTATGACGTTGGTTAGTAAAAGTGGAGTCTAGTTTTAGAGATGCAACAAACCATTATTTTAATAATCGATTCACGTGTCGATTATTTTGTCGATAAATTGAAGAATCAGATTTAAAGAACATTATTTTAAGATTAGCTGATTATCATTAAAATCACCTATTAATTTGTTTAGTTGTCAATGAAGCAATGTACCTCTAATTTTAAACAGCTCTTATCTTTTCAAAGGAAGCACTTTTTCAGTTAAGGTTAATCAAAAGTGGTGTAAAGGTTAGATTTGACTTTCCGTTGAGGCAAATTGTTCCGGAAAAGCCTGGCATGACAAATGTGTGAGATTTAAAAAACTAGTCACACAGGTTATCAGACCTGCACTGCATGGCTCAAGATCGTGTCGCATTGGGCTGCACAATATGGTTGAAAAGTGTGTCACAATATAGGTATTTCATATCAGTAGAGACTGATATATATTGAATAGTCAATTTTTAATCATTTTTTACTCTTCAAAATAAGGACCTGAAGGAAAAAAGGTTGAATTCAGGAAATTTTATTTTAAAATATTTAACCTTCCATAACAGGTTAAAACAAACTATGAAAAGGTTCAACTGACTGGTCAATTTAAAGTATGTACATATTTCACATTAGACCATTGATTTTTACACATTTAAATTAAGAAAAACAACAACATTGATGAAAGATAAGAAATGAATGAAACAACTATCAGGAGGTAAAATACCATTCAAGATATCTGGTAGTAGAATGGTTTTGTGCTCCAAATTTCGTCGATGTGCTTGCAAAAATTTGCTGCAAACCTAGCGTCATATTGTAGCCTATGACGGCAGCATGCAGAATGACGAATTTGAGGTTTGTGTCCTGATGTTTTTTTTTCCATCGATTTTATATTGAGTGCAATTTCTATTGCTCTTGATCAGGTGTCTATCGCGATGTATGGTATTATTGCCCAGCCCCAGTGTCATACTATTACAATCTTATCAGTCGAGCTTGCCAAAAATAAAAGCTTGCAGCTTCAAAATGTATAAACACAAAACCAAATCAGTGCTGAGGCGCTTTAAGTCAGGAGTGGTGGTGGTGGTTTCAAAGCATGTCATTTCCAACTGCACAGGCTGTGACAGGATGTGGAATTTGAGGACACGAGCTTCTTTCCACTGAGCAGTTTCATCCCTGCTGCAAACCCAGAGGGAGCCAAATAGTACAAGACAAATGAACGTAATGGGTGCCTATGAAATGCACGCCTTGATCTAAATAGCATGCTATGCATTTCGGACACTTAAGTGTTGCGTCTTAAAGGTTTTTAGGCAACACCCGGAATGCAATCAAACGATTTAATGGCCTTAGAAAGTACAAACGCTACTAAACATTTCAATGGGACATAGTCAAAAAGGATAATTTGAAATGCATACAAATGCTCATTTGAACTGTTACTTGAGAGTAGCTTCAGAGAGACTGAACAGGTAGCAAGCGGGCTGTCATTACTACTCTCACACTTCCTGATTCACACGACATCGGATCGCAAAGGTCACAAAAGCCTGCAACATATCAACGTTCTGCTTTAAACACATTTGAAAAGCATTAAGATGTGAGTGAGCTCTTTAGCCCCTTTTTAACGTGACGGAAACGCTCACAAGCGTGTTCAAAAACAGCCAAAGAAGCGAGGGCAACGTTTGTCTGTTACAAAGCGAAATGGTATCCCGGCGGCTTTGTTGTTAACTAATGGCCCAAACACAAGCGGTTAGCCTGGAAACACAATGAAGATGAAGGTGCTTTAAACACATTTGAAAAGCATTAAGATGTGAGTGAGCTCTTTAGCCCCTTTTTAACGTGACGGAAACGCTCACAAGCGTGTTCAAAAACAGCCAAAGAAGCGAGGGCAACGTTTGTCTGTTACAAAGCGAAATGGTATCCCGGCGGCTTTGTTGTTAACTAATGGCCCAAACACAAGCGGTTAGCCTGGAAACACAATGAAGATGAAGGGATTTGAGTCGCTGTTACCCACCTCATTGTTCGGCCGGAGTGGAGCTCCTCTCCTCGCGGGACAACTTTGATTCACTTGAAAGCTGAAGCGGGCGGATTAAAGTCAAACTAGCCGAACCCACACCCAAACTACCAGAAATGTGTCGGAGTGGGGGATAAAGTCGCATCTACACCCGCAAACGGGGTAGCAACTCGCGGGATAATCGAAGCACACCTCGACGATTTCCTGGTTGTGTAGCAATGGGTGAGGCTCAAGATCGTGTCGCATTGGGCTGCACAATATGGTTGAAAAGTGTGTCACAATATAGGTATTTCATATCAGTAGAGACTGATATATATTGAATAGTCAATTTTTAATCATTTTTTACTCTTCAAAATAAGGACCTGAAGGAAAAAAGGTTGAATTCAGGAAATTTTATTTTAAAATATTTAACCTTCCATAACAGGTTAAAACAAACTATGAAAAGGTTCAACTGACTGGTCAATTTAAAGTATGTACATATTTCACATTAGACCATTGATTTTTACACATTTAAATTAAGAAAAACAACAACATTGATGAAAGATAAGAAATGAATGAAACAACTATCAGGAGGTAAAATACCATTCAAGATATCTGGTAGTAGAATGGTTTTGTGCTCCAAATTTCGTCGATGTGCTTGCAAAAATTTGCTGCAAACCTAGCGTCATATTGTAGCCTATGACGGCAGCATGCAGAATGACGAATTTGAGGTTTGTGTCCTGATGTTTTTTTTTCCATCGATTTTATATTGAGTGCAATTTCTATTGCTCTTGATCAGGTGTCTATCGCGATGTATGGTATTATTGCCCAGCCCCAGTGTCATACTATTACAATCTTATCAGTCGAGCTTGCCAAAAATAAAAGCTTGCAGCTTCAAAATGTATAAACACAAAACCAAATCAGTGCTGAGGCGCTTTAAGTCAGGAGTGGTGGTGGTGGTTTCAAAGCATGTCATTTCCAACTGCACAGGCTGTGACAGGATGTGGAATTTGAGGACACGAGCTTCTTTCCACTGAGCAGTTTCATCCCTGCTGCAAACCCAGAGGGAGCCAAATAGTACAAGACAAATGAACGTAATGGGTGCCTATGAAATGCACGCCTTGATCTAAATAGCATGCTATGCATTTCGGACACTTAAGTGTTGCGTCTTAAAGGTTTTTAGGCAACACCCGGAATGCAATCAAACGATTTAATGGCCTTAGAAAGTACAAACGCTACTAAACATTTCAATGGGACATAGTCAAAAAGGATAATTTGAAATGCATACAAATGCTCATTTGAACTGTTACTTGAGAGTAGCTTCAGAGAGACTGAACAGGTAGCAAGCGGGCTGTCATTACTACTCTCACACTTCCTGATTCACACGACATCGGATCGCAAAGGTCACAAAAGCCTGCAACATATCAACGTTCTGCTTTAAACACATTTGAAAAGCATTAAGATGTGAGTGAGCTCTTTAGCCCCTTTTTAACGTGACGGAAACGCTCACAAGCGTGTTCAAAAACAGCCAAAGAAGCGAGGGCAACGTTTGTCTGTTACAAAGCGAAATGGTATCCCGGCGGCTTTGTTGTTAACTAATGGCCCAAACACAAGCGGTTAGCCTGGAAACACAATGAAGATGAAGGGATTTGAGTCGCTGTTACCCACCTCATTGTTCGGCCGGAGTGGAGCTCCTCTCCTCGCGGGACAACTTTGATTCACTTGAAAGCTGAAGCGGGCGGATTAAAGTCAAACTAGCCGAACCCACACCCAAACTACCAGAAATGTGTCGGAGTGGGGGATAAAGTCGCATCTACACCCGCAAACGGGGTAGCAACTCGCGGGATAATCGAAGCACACCTCGACGATTTCCTGGTTGTGTAGAAATGGGAGAGAAGGGGGGGGGGTACAGTAGCGCAGCGGGCTTGTCAAGTCCAATCACTATCTCACGTTGGTTTCGACGAGCTTCAACGGGCAAACCCGGAAAATAGCTACAGTACTGTAACCGCTAAAAAGTTGCTCTTTCTTACTGAGAGTCCCGTCTCCGTTTCTGGACATGAGCCCAAGGCAGACTTTTTTTCCGACGGTCGGTAGGTCTCTAACTCATTGGCGTGTGGGGCCAGCCCGCCAGCTTCAAAGAGGGCAGTGGGGTCTTGTGGTGCGTTCAGGAGTCCTCGGGGAAAACAACACTGTTGAAAAAAAAAACAGACCGGACAAGTTCTTCTTGATCGTACGCCACGCCACGCTTGTGTATCGAACTGCAATAACTTCAAAGCAACAAAGCTATTCAGTACAAGTGTTTAATTTTTAAATAAGCTTTCTCTGAGGAGGGGTACACGATTTCATTGAATAAAAACGTCTCAGGATGATGCAGTGTTTAATGTCTGAAAGTGTCAATCAAAAGTGAGCAAAATTTAGCTTTGCCAAGATTGGGATTTAAGGGAAATCTCCTTCACTTGACTTGACTTGTGTTTGTATTTTGTATTTTGTAAAGGATTCGATTGTCTTAAATCTTGGTCAAAGTATCATCCATCTGGGTAGTGAAGATCATACAGCAGTTATAGTCATCTAATTACACAACTCCCGAAAAGGACTCTATATTCATTACTTTGATGTAGATGAGAATGCCGAAAATTCACGTTCACTTTATATGCCAAAGATACACGTTAAGTGGGAGAACTGGTATTGTGACGTTGTTAAACACTTCAGCCTTAAAATCTATTTTAAGCGTCTCATTCTCATAACAGGGGATATATGTTGCCCCTCAAGCAGAATTTGACCACGTCTGCTTGTGATTTAGCTTACACTGAAACACATCCACATGTATTCTTTGATTATTAAAGGTCATTTATACGTTTGTAAATCATCATCCATAACTTATTTATGAACACTGAGCTCTCTTGATGCAGCAGTAGACGTAGCATACAGAAGAGGTATGTCATGGACTTATTTCGAAAAGTTTGGTTGTTCGTACAATATTCTAATTAGAAGTGGTTACATATCAGAACGGAGAGTGAACTGCGTGCATAAATATACCACGTCTGCATGGAAACTATAAAGCCGGTGCTTTATCTCAAAGTGATATTCCATGTAAGCCACAGAGTCTGTGTGGTTATTCAAAAAGAATAACTTCCGCAATATTAAAATCAGTAGTGAACTAAGAAGAAAGCTTCAAAATAATTATTACTGCTGCAAAACTTCCCAAAAAGGTCATCAACAGACATCGTTTAATGCCCGCGGCAGAAATGTCCTCAATAGCATATTGCAAAGGAAATCTAAGATATCTAATTATTTTGACAATAGGAGGAAAAAGTACTGACATTCTTTTCATGGTCCGTTTTCAACACTGAGATACAGAACACACTAAAAGCATTCTTTCTCTCTTATGGGGACAGAAGTAGAAGTTGGGATGAGAAAGGAATGCATTACCACTACTTGGCATGCGTAAACATCCACAACAAACCCAAATATGCTTTTAGCTCCACTCACTACACACACACACACACACACACACACACACACACACACACACACACACACACACACACACACACACACACACACACACACACTGCTCTGACCGACTGTTAGAAGGGTATTTTGAGCCCAGCACCTCTTGTTAACCCTGCTGTCCACCAAAGCTGTCGAGTAAAGTAAGACTTATTTTCTTTCTTTCTCATCAGTGAATGTACAGTTTTGCAGAGGATAGCATACAGATCTTGTATGAGCATGTGCTGAACATGTGCTGGAACATGTTGCCCAATTTGGTTGAGTTCCCAACTAGTACCACAGTTCTTAAAATATTGAAAGAAAGTCATGGCATAATTATGGGTTTCTCTCAGTACCGCAACTTTATTTCCAGACCTTGACGTCAGTCGGTCACTCTCCTTAACAACTGGCTACTGACAGAAGCTATGGAATGGAAATTAAAAAAAAAAGACATTTGAGCAGGCCAATGAACACGGAGAGATTGTTGTGAAAGTTTGGAAACATAACAGCTCTGAACTTGTTCAAGTATGCAAGTAGACAACAAATGAAGACCAATGACATTTCCAGTGAACTAATAACAGATTGAGAACTAGTAGGTGAAGAATATCACAGAATGCTTTTTTCCCCCTACCATCTTATACACAGTGACTACCACCAACAACATGGTCATCCATCCGTTATATGATACGCTAATCCTCACGAGTGTGCTGGAGTCTTTGGGCAGTAGGCGGGCTACACCCTGGACTGGTTGATGTCGGGCGTCTGGAAGGTTCTGGACAGAATCGGACCCGACAAATATAGACTCAGGAAAGTTGGTCAAACAAAAAGACTTATTTACAAAAATAGGCGCAAGGCCGACAAAAAGTGCTTGCACAAGGCAAGGAAAAAAGCCAAACGAAAAGACCTTGTAACAAAAGTACAAGCCCAAACTGCACGGAGAACAAACTGTCGGTAGACTTAAACACAGCAAGAAATATTTAGTTCAATAACAAAGAACATAACCGAAGGCAAGAGCCTAAAAATAAATGAATAAATACATACATACATACAGTACATACATAAAATAAGGAGAAAACATAAAACCAGGCAAGAGCCAAGAACAGAACGAGCATAATAAGAGAGTGTCTAGACAAAATGCACATAAACAAAGACTTGCGCAAGGCAAAATTATCCGACATCTTTGACGCAGGTCCACGAGGTCCTTAAATAGTCCCAACAATTATGATGTCAGACAGGTGCGTAGCAGGAAAAACGGGAACGCCTCTGTCACCTCTGGAAGACTAACAGAATGTGATCATGACTGTATCCCCATGCTCTCCATCAGACACCGTGGCCAGATTTGAACCCATGACATCGCACATGTAAGCAGAGGTCAATGTTTTGTAAACAGGAGGTCACCTTTAGCCTCATAAAGCGTACAATTAGTTAAAATTCGACCATTACATATTGACCACTTATTGCTAAACGTAAATTGAATATGATTTGTTTTTATTGCTGTCGTGAAAAAATAAAAGTGTTTCTGTCTGCATTGGGCAAGTTTAGTTTTGTCCCTAACATACGATAGACCACTTTCCGTCTTTACTTACGAGTTTAACTGTATTCTATGTATAACCTCAAATTTCCACTAGATGTCGGTGTCACACAATGACAGTGACTATGCACAGTCACCATGTGAAGTGTGTGCTTCTGCTCTGCAGCTCCCAGGACGAAGAATCTAAACGCTTTACTTAAAAATGAACCGATTTGACCATTGACCTCTACTCCTTTTCGATCCTCAATTACATTTAACATTACAACAACAAAACAATAACATGGATATGAAATACATTTTTGATTGATAATTATTATTCACAATGAAGACAATTATGACATCTTGACTAAGTGTGAGTACAAAGTAAAGCGTTGACAGACTGTTACAGACTTGCTATACATTACTTACTAACCAATGTTTAGGTTTTGCACTTTCATTTCACAACCGTGTCTGAAATCCTACATTAAAAGGTGAGAAATAGTTCCTAAAAACAGTACAATATTGTACAGTCCACTCCCTTATGTATGTAAATAGGCCTATGTGCATTTGTGTGTTTGCTGTTTATGCCATTTGTATGTTGACACATCTCCTCTTCCTTCTGGTGGCCCTTACACTTGGGCCGTAGTTCTGCTTGGGAACAAAGTGCAATAGCGGGTCGGGTTGCAGCGACCATCAATGCCCTGGTGGGATCTCGCATTGCTCGGGCATTGATGCCTGACCGATTGCTATCATAATCACACTTCCTTCTCCTTCTTATCGCTTACCTACTAAATAAAACATCTGCCTTCCTGCTCAAGGATGCTCACCACCCAAAATCTGAAGGGAAACAAAAGAGACTTTTGAAAAGAGACCTCGAGAAATCAGTTGAGAATCAATTACTACTGTGGGCAATGAAAATATTAGATGTCATATAAAAAATACTATTTTCACATAGCAGAGAAGAATATGTTAACAAGCCTTCCAAACTTGAATGAGTAATACAAAAATAATTATTAATATTTATAATTTAATAATAATTAAGAAAATTGGCAAGTATATTAAATGAGGCTCCAAAATCTTGGAAAATAGAGACCTCCTTGGCTTCTCCCAAATTTCAGACGGTGTGGGTGTTGCCACAGAAGAGACCCGATGATTTGCAAATCGTTGTATTTTGTTTAACATGTCACAACTTCATTGAAATTCGGTTTGTATAATAGAGAAAATGTCCGTTATTTTCATCTTTGTCAATTAATATAAAACATGAGCTTCGGGGATTCATTTTAAATGTATTTATTTCAGTATAGCTGTAGATCCATAGCAACAAAAGAAAGAAGGTCAAGTTGTTTGAGCATTGTACTGAAAGTGCCCGTTTAATTATTGGCACCAGGGTTGAGATGTGTTAAAAGCCTTCAAATAAATTAAAATCTTTATTGCACAAAAATTCTGTCATGCTGAAAATTGGAGGAACGGTTCACCACAGAATTAAGCTCCTCCCATGTTCACCTAGACCTCAACCCCATTGAAAACCTGTGAAGTGAGCTGAAGAGGAGAGTGCAGAAGACAGGACCCAGGTACCTGGATGATTTTGAGCGACTGTGCTAAGAGGAATGGTCGAAGATCCCTCTTTCTGTATTCCCCCATCTTGTGAAATGCAAACACCACACAGTAATGCCGGAGCCAGAATTGAACCCAGCACTGTGAGACCGTTGACCACTCTGCTGCCCATCGTTCAAGTACTTTCAGAGAAAGGGTGTCCAACTTATTTTTTATTTGCAGGCACATTGTTGTTTTGGTATCCCTCAAAGGTCAGTAAAAATTTTGTATGCAGACCTCATCATATTATTACCTTACAGTCCTACAGACAATTGCCCCTGCATTTCATTGCTAAGATATTTGCATTTTTAACAAAAAAACAAACAAAAAAAATGAATTTGGAATCAAAAGCAATGGAAAATTAGGACAACCAACTATTTAAGTATACAAATATTGTTTAATGGAAGTGAAAAGGGGATTTTGTCTGGTGGTGGTGGTGGGGGGGGGGGCATTTAAGTTTATGATGTAGTGGTACATAAAGAAAGATAGGTGATGTACAATTTGTTTGAAAGTAGTGGTACAAACTGTGTTATTCAGCTGTTAAGACGATGAACAACATAGCCAGAAGAGGCAATAGATAAAGGGTGTGAAGTGACAGTCAGCACGTCTGGTTTCATAAATAATGCGGCATGCCTTGAAACGATAGTTTGTCATGTATTGAGCGTTACCCACGGAAATCAAGTCTGACACGTACGATTCCATCTGGGGAAAGGGAAATGGTGACTGTGGGAGGAGGGTCATTGCTCTTTGATGCACAATGTGATGTAATTTGCGATGTAGACGTTGAAGTAGCGTCCTAAAATGAAACTACTTTTGAATATAGTATATGCCTCAGAATTTATTAAGGAAATTAAAGTAAAAAAAAAAACATTGAAAAATACAAATCCTTGCACAATTGGAGCTACGATGACAGCCATTTTTTTTTTTTTTTTTATTAAAATGCAAAATACAGAAGCCTTCTGTAGATAAATCAAAGCCCTATTTTCTTTGGACATTGTGTCTTACAAGTAGGAAACAATAAACAAAAACAACAAAAGTTTCCATGGAAAAAAAAAGGGATAGAGACAGACCCTGGGACAATCCACAGGATGCCATTAAGTTCACTTGCCTGTGATGAGAGGATTTCTCAGTACAACAATAACAGAGTCCCCTCTGAGAAACATTTTAGAGATGTAGCGATCCTTATTCACTGGTTTAGACTTTTTCTTTCCTTTGCCACTCTTGGGAACTTCAGTCCACATCTCCTTCACATTCTCTAAGACCATGTTGCAATGCCTGAAACATAAATCCCAAAACAAGGCTTAAATCTGACATCTAAATTTAATTTTAGTCATTAAAATAAATGCATGTCACAATTTGCTGAGTACCTGTCAAAAGCTTTGACTCTCCCAAGCAACTTTTTGTTGTTGCGACAGTTAATGAGGACTTGTGTGTTGTTCTTGACTGACTGGGTTAGCACAGACAGGGGACCTGTGTTGAATTCCTCCTCTTCACGTTTCTGGAGCTCTTCTGGGCTCATTTCTGACTTGGGCTTGGTTAACAAACTCCTACAATAAAAAAAAGTATAAATAAAATATATAAATCAGAGTTGCAGTGAAGCTTGATAATAAACACTATACATTCAATTGACTATGGCCATGATTCTTAAAATTCTTGGTGTTGTAGAACAATACAATTCTTTGTGCAACATTTGTGATTCATTGTGCTATTATTATAAGACAGTGATTCTCAATACAGTATAGTCATTACGTTATACGGCAGTGCATTTTTCACTTTTCAAATACAGTATATTTTTAAAGTATGGTTCAATTGCATTTAATGTTTTGCCCACTGCCTCATTCAATGGCGATGGTGACGTAAACAGCAAAAAAAAAAAAAAAAAAAATGAACCCATTATTACAAGTGTACAGAATGTATATCCAAAACAAAAATTGGGCGATTGCCAATTCCTAAAACACCTTGCATCGCCATAAATCTACTCACCACATGGGTAAAATGTTTGCAGAAATTATTTAAGTAGTACCATTGGAAGCATTAGCATTCGATATTAGCATTCGAGCAAGAACACCGTCTTATTGCTCCGTACCTTGAAACTGCCTGGTTGTGAGAGTTTAGCGTTTTTATATAAACAAAGCATACGTAGCTAAAGAGTTATAAATGGCACTTACACGTGAACGGAAAACAAAGGGACAGGTTAGCTCAGGCTAAGTGGCTTAGGCTAATGTCAGTAACATTGCTCACGTTTATGACAATCGCTGCAATTATAAACAATATTTTTATTTTTAGAGTATACACTCTGTAAATGTAGCCTATACCCCGGTCACTCTCTGTTTTCATAAAGATAAATACTCACATGATTGCCAATGTTCAGCCAAATTGCAGTCCTCGCGTTTCGACTTCCTCCGTAAGTGGAACGATTGCTTCTCGCGTGGGGGCAGAACTACTTCCGGCTGTTCCGCGCCTGAAATGGACAGATCTTCCGGGTTGTTTCATGACGTCACCATTTCAAAACTAATTCATCACGTTCATAACCTTGATACTTCAGATGTTGGCAAACCAAGGATCCTCTGTACTACTGGAAATGTGTCATTATGCAATAATGCACCACTTTGTGATATTCCATCCATTTTTTTTTTTAATCATGCATGCCCTCATGGCCTGCAAGTGTGCTGGAGCCTATCCCAACTAACTTGGGTGAGATGTAGTGAGACGCCTAAGCCTGGACCGATTGCCAGTCAATCGCATCTGGCACGTACCTATACATAAATGACCCAGACCTGGCTACTTGCCTGGAGAAAACTAAAGCAAACCCCTTTCAGGAGGGTCTGAGCTGATATTCGAACCATTGACCTTTCAACCGTGAGGCAGAATTGGAAACAATTATGCTTAAGATAGCTTTAACCCATGTTGATACACCAACCACAGGTACTCTTTCAGTTAAGTAATGCATAAAGAGCAAGCAAATTGATACTACAGCCCCAGACAGATTGGTCTTTGTTTTTCTTCTTAGACACATCAAGCACTAGGGAAAAAGTGTGTGTGAGTAACTGATGAGACAGAGAGATTGGCGATGTTGACAACATTACCTACAAAGCATAATGAGACATGAGTAGATTGGCTTCCTGGTAAGAGACAGACAGACGCCTGAGTGTGTGCACCCCATTCAATTTACCGTCAAATGGCAGATCAACGAGTTGAGACCACTTTGCATGGATAAAATCTGCTTGTGTGCAACTGAATGGTGCAGTGTGGTTTCTCAACAGTCCCCAAAAAGTGGTACACTTTACTTTTTATATTAATCTAAAGGTGCTCAGATTTTGTAACGATTGAATTTTTGCAAATGTAACTTTTTTATTGAAATAGCATATATGAGAACAAACTCATCTCTGTAAAAAAAAAAAAGATAAAATTGTGAACTACAATTTAGTCAAAGTACTGAATTTTAAAAGCACTTTATTCAGACTGATATGATTGCTCACTATTACATAAGAAGCGTCTCATGCAGGTTTCATTCTGACACTTAAAGAATTTGTTTCAAGCAAATAAATATATTTAGTGACACCAGCTAGCGTTAGCGTATTACTGGACTATAACTATTACTAGACTATGTAGTAAACATTGATTAATATGCAAACCATAATAATGAAAAAACATCGGTACTTCAACCTTAGTTTACAGGTTCACATAAAAATACACGGAATATAGGCAAAAGAAAAATCATGGGCATGTGCTGTAATACACTACCCAATTAAATTCATCAATATAATTTATAACATTCTAAACTTGCATATAACATCCTATTCAATGGTGTTCTAAAATGTAAAGAGAATTTCCCCAAAACAGTATATTAATGCCCACATTTTAGAAGAAGTTGGTTGGCCCTGAGATCATGCTGAGAGAAAATTGGTCCGGCAGAGTACAGGTGCACGTCGGGATGGCTGTCGAGAAGGGGTCGATGCCAAATTCTCCTCGCCAAGTGTTTTGCGCACTGATGAGTCCAATATAAGACATCTCCTGGTGCGCTTGCACAAAGCTGCTCGTACCGGAGCCTCCCGCACTTCCACAAATGGGTCGTGATGTGTGTTCAAGCGACGTGGACACGCGAGGGTGCGTACTCGCGTGATGCTCTGCTTCCAAGCGGTGCGTGCGCACTGGTATCGGGACGGGCATAAAGTATGGTACCGGCCAGTAAACGGAGCTGGTGGACATCACGCGAACCGCAGCTCCCTTGGATGCAAAGGAGGTACCAGTTCTGGTCCTAAATGTGGTCCTGCGCCGGAGATTCCCCGAGGTGCTCCCAATGAAGACTTCCTCGCTGCAGGAGTCCAGCATCCAATAGCTGCCTTTACCTGGATCGTCGTAATGTCGCGGCACTTTGACGAAACACTTGTTGAGACTTAAGTTGTGTCGTATTGAGTTTTGCCATCCACGTGTGTTGTGTCTGTAGAAAGGAAAGTTGTGCATGATAAACTCGTAGATGCCGCTCAGCGTGAGACGTCGTTCCGGACTTTGGCGGATGGCCATCGTGATGAGAGCGTTGTAACTAAAAGGTGGTTTGTCTGCTTTCAGGGCGCTTATCTCGTCTTTGACATTTCTCATTTGTTTGGAATCAGCCAGTGCGCTCCCGTCCTGGTGACTGGACGTCTCCCGGTCCTTCCACAATAGTAGGGCACTGTTGCTGAACGAAGACTTGTGGAAGAAACCGTGCAAAGTCTTGAGGCTCTCCATGTTCGGGATGAGAAACGAAATAGCAGCGGAGTTGCAAGCAGACGTGTGGTCAGGACAGCCTTGACTCTTGATGCGAAGTGGCTCAGGAGCACAGGGGAACCTCTTTTGGGGAAAGCCGCGTGAAGCAACAAATGCGCATGATCACAATGATCGCACACTTGCCCCCCCCCCCTCCCCGATATACCTCGGCAATGCATTAACAAAAATAAAAAGCGTGCATCCGAATTTTCTCAAATTAATACACATACATGAATGTGTCTATGTTACATGTTATATTCATTTATATTGACAATTCCACCAAATCAGTTGCTATTTGTAATAGTCTAAATATAAACTCCCAAGTCTGTGTATTTTGGGGTTTTGGAATTTTGTACGTACCTTTGCATAAAATTAACAGTCCCTCCTCACCCAAATGCTACAGTGTCGTTTATGCGCTTTTATAGCTTTCAAGGAGCTGAGTGTTAGGTCAGCAGTTCAAGAATGATACAAAAGTAAAGCAGCTATTGCTTTTCTACAAGAAGTAAGTGTACAATGTAAATGGTGAGATTTCAATGTCAAGAGGTTACTGGTCACAGTTGCCCACCTGTCAATAAAATGACACAAGCCTACGATTGAAACAAATTATTGTTTTAATAACAAAACCAAGTGAAAAGGACGAATGCTCATAAAGAACCAACAAAACACAACTATATTCACAAGATGTCTGACGAAGTTGCCATGCACACTATTCTGTCCACCTGTGTCCACAATGAGGGGCTGTGCAGACGTAGTAAAGTCTCATTGCATCCTATGTTGGAACACAGTGTAAGATTAGAATCCATCTCCTGCAGAATTCACTTCAAGACCATAACGTATCCCACTATAGGCTCCAATCACTTCTGATGCTGTCATGCATATGTGTGTGTATGGTATTTAAACGGATTTGGAGGACATTAAATTGAACCCCCCCCCGCCCCCCCCAACCCCAAAACCGATTACCTCCGCTTTCATGCTGTGTGACTGGAAGAACACTGCCTCCTTGTGACCGCATCTGGGGAGTGACATGGTTTAACTGCAGCATAATATCATGCAAACATTGAGTTGTATCTCCCACTTTCACTCCATATAATGTATACACATAATGATATACAAACGATAATATAAACCTACATATATACTTCCAGATACACGAATATTTATTGTACAAAAAGGACATATCAGAAGTTTGTCAGAAAAGGTGTCACAAAGGAATTGTGACAGCCCGACATCAAACTTTGCAGCGTCCTCTGGTGGTCACACAAGATGATTGATTACATTGTATGTAAATGAATGTACGGTACACGGGGCGGCCCAGTGGTCCAGTGGTTAGCACATCGACCTCACAGTGTGATTCCAGCTCCGGCCCTCCTGTGTGGAGTTTGCATGTTCACCCCGTGCCTGCGTGGGTTTTCCCCGGGTACTCCGGTTTCCTCCCACATTCCCCCCAAAACTGCATGGCAGGCTGATTGAACACTCAAAATTGTCCCTAGGTATGAGTATGAGCACGGATGTTTTTTTGTCTCTGTGTGCCCTGCGATTGACTGGCAACCGGTTCAGAGTGTCCTCTGCCGCCTGCCCGAAGACAGCTGGGACAGGCTCCAGCACACCCCGCGACCCTTGTGAGGATAAAGCGGATCGGAAAATGGCTGGATGGACGTACGGTACACATTGTGGAACATAAATTAATACACACAAACATTCCTAACAAAATCAAGATTTTCTATGGCACACGATACCACAAATTATTCCCAGAAATGAAGACGAATGATTTCAAATGTGGTTTGTTCATGTATCCACATGAAACAAAATGTTACAAAAGTGTGTCCACAAGCAACATTTTCGGCGGGGGGGGGGGGGGGGGGC